AATATAGCCATATATACTCACATCCAATAGCTTGAGCGAGTAGCTGGCCGCATGCAGCACTGAGTAGAGCGCAACGGGTATGAGCACCAGCAGAGTGGGACGAATGCTAAAGAAGATCAACGAGTACATCATATAATGACACGAGTCTTCGGCAAATAGACGTGCCAAGAATTCGCGACTGAACGAGAAGGCGGGCACACGCTGATGCAAACGCAGCGCCGAGATGGCTGCGTTCGCTAGCAGAACCTTGTTGAACGAGCTCTGTTGTGAGCTGTTAAGGGAGAAATAAGAGAAAGTAAGGAATCAGTATTCATAGAAAAACATATAGTTGTATACAAGTGAAGCTAGATCATCCTATATATAAACGTTCTCAAGAGAAGAGAGCTCTCTACGTTTCTATATTACGCTCTTCTTCATTTCCTTGACTATTTTCGCCCACTCTTTCGAATATCGTATAAAGGAATATCTCTTACAACATTTAAGGTCTAGGTAATTAGTTTTGCTTCTATCTTATCTTTATCTTTCACTTGTTAAATTTCCCCTTTGCATTGCACTTAATCTCTGCCTTCCTCACTCTCATATTGCCTCACTTTGCTATAAGTCGTCTATCTATGCGCTCCTCATAATATTAATTGACTCAGGGCAAATGTCGGTTACATGAAAACTAGATATAATCAAGATATTATCAATTACATATAGATTATTTGGGGAATATACATATATACTCACGTGAATATGGGCAACACATAGCTAACGGTAAAGAAGATGACAAGCAGACGCAGCGCCCACAGCGCCGAGTCGATGCGATTTGCTTGAAAATGCTGCAATAGCTTTGCCGGTGCATTTTGTGATGTTTGCGGTTGCTCTTGCTCCTGTTGTCCTTGTGGCTGTGATGAGGCTGACGAGCTGGGCTGTGCATCGCCCTGGGCGTTGTCGAAGCTCGGCTGTTTCTGTTGCTCACTTGTCGCACTCATTATGCCTACAGTTAGTGTTCGCTTCCGTGGTGTTCTGTTCCGTTTGCTAGAGTTTGGTCTGCAAGTGTAAAAGTAAGAAATGAAGACCATTAGAAGAAGTAGACCTTATCATTCGGTACAATGGCAAACAGCGCGTTGCTTATCAACGTCTCGCTAATCGCTGCCCTGATAAGCGTTATGTGTGCGCTGATACATATATAAATATACATATATATATACATATTCATATGTACGTATGTAGATAGAGTATATTTGCAGTAATAACTAATTGGTATAACTTAAGAATTTCATGAATACCAAAAAGTTATAAATAATATTTACAGTATGGGAAAGTTGACTTTTGAAGTATTTTACAGAGTTATATACATGCACATACGTATGTACAGGTAAATATCATTTGCTATTAAAACGCCATTATATATAATTGTATCGCGTGTATTGCAGTGTCATGATAAATAGGGAATATTTAGTTGATACTGCGAGGTTAGCTTAGTAAATATGAGGTTAAATATGTGTTAGGCAGCAAAAGAATTTGGAATTTGCGGGGGAATAGGAATGGGCTAATAAATCTTCCTATTCCAAATAAACAAAATAAAATACAAAAGGGGATATAAGGAGACCTTGTAATTATCTATAAAATAATTTTTGAGGTACACAAAAACAAAAAGAAATCAAAGAATTTTTAATTATTTAAAAAATAATTAACTGTTCAGTTCAGTAAATATCCGACATAGTTAATGATCAAATTTAATTGCAGCGTATTTAAGTTTTGGCTTATTTAGCTAAACTGTTCTTCATTGTTCGGCATTGTTTTTATGTATTAATGGTACGCGCTTTTAATTGTAAATTACATACACAAAAGTATTTTGTGTCGTAAAACCAAAGTACAAAAAACCAGTTGAATGGAAAGTTAAACACACACACACACACATAAACACTTAATGTCCAAGGCGTGTTGAGCGTTGCCACAGAGGCGTTAATGTTTGACTCTGTGGCAAAAGGCAGACAACTCGTGTGCAGTTATGGCAAAACAGTAACAACAATAACATGCCAATTGAAACAACAAATGTGACTTGACTTGTGGATATATACTCGCATAAGGTTACATATGAACCTTTGCTTCAATTTCTATTTGAATATCTCTTATATCGTATGAAAGCAGTTAAATTGTTTTAGTTCATGATTTTAATGGCGCACAACAATTAAAAAAAAACCTTAAGTGAAATTAAAAAAAAAAAAAAAAACAAAAAATACTATTATTCAAGTTTACGATATGAACGAACGAACCAGGTAAACTTCAGCGACTAACAAAGCGGACTGAGTCGATGCCCAAACCACTGACAAGAGAGTAACCGCAATGTGCATGTCGTTACGAAATACACGTCAAAATAACTAAACTCACGCACACATGTATGTATGTGTGCATGTATGCAGAGGCCAAACAGGTGGCAGACGAACAATACTCAGAGAGGGGGCGTTAAACCAGAAAGAGGGAGAGAGAGAGAGAGAGGGCAGAGCAGGAGGAGCTGACACAGTGAGAGTGCATTGAAAAGTGCGACGGCGTAACGTGAGCAGGAAACGTAACTGAAAACTGGCGCGAAAATGTTGAAATTATGAACAGTATTGACTTCATTTGGCTTTTTATGTGCATTTTGGCTAATTTTGAGAGTTACAAACTCCATTTATTCATATGCTTTTATTTTGTTAAATGTATTTGAAATAAACACTAGAGGTAATTCATTGTAATTCAAATGCCTTAGTGAAGTTTAACTTCAAGAGCTCAAAATAATTGCAAGATATTTTCAGCATATCTATTTTATTTCATCTTTCTCTCACTTTCTTTTTTCAAGTCAGTCAACAAAACAAAAAGAAAAGGTTTACTGCCTGTCAAGGTAAATTTTAATTTAGCGTTTTTAATTACCTTGCTATTTTCGGCTGAAATATTACGCTCCAATAGCCGAGCACATTTTAGCCAACTTTTATCAACAACTGGCGCCCCAACAGAAGCGAAACAATATGAAATCTGGCCAAACACGAAATAACATTCAGAAAATAAATTAGCACATTTGGCTTCTGTTGTGATCGGACAGCTGATACACAGGCTTACACACATTTTACTTACTTTGCACTCCAATCTGCGTTTACTGATAATGATCAAAACAAAATCAACCTATTTCATTGAACCAATTTAGCTAAAGACAAACTAGCCTTTTTTTGGCTATGCCAGCAATGTTGATAACATTATGCAGGTGAAAAGAAACGTTATTGACACCAGCTGGTCATTAGGAGCCAATAATTTGATATTCACATTGATGGGTCGAGTACAAATATTGATTTTAGTAAATGATGTCCTTTCTTAAAAATACAATAATGGACAGGGACAGGAAACTAGGTCAAGTTAGCCGCTAGATAATTGTTCATTTAATATGCAGCACTTTTTGGACTGAGGTCAATCGAAAACTGAAATTTGGTATCAATATTATAATTGGTTGTTAAGTCCGGTGGAATGTGATGAAACCTATGCATAAATAAATGACGTCACATGTTGGCACCACGAGGAACACGTCAGTGACATACACTTAAGCATATACACGTACAGCCAAATTGGGGAACAAGGTACGCGCTTCAATGCGTGTGCGTGTGCCTGTGTGAGTATGCGACATTTGATTGTGCTGATTGACTTTAGTTGAACTCTTTTTAAACTTTGATATGAGCATCAAATGATACAGCAGAACTCAAAAGTTATTCCAAAGTGCACTTGTTTCCACATGGACACCGAAATAAAGTCGGAGAAAATAAATCCAAATTAGTGACTTCCTATTTTTTTTAATTTGGGCAACACGTAGCAACAGCCGGCAAAGCAAAGAAACGTACAGGCAGGCAGATCAGCGACCAGCACATTCTCTGCAGCACATAAATAAATAAGCAACCCATATACATATACAGCAAAGTGTGTGCATTATGGGAAAATTGGGTTAATAACCATTGCACCAGGCGCACTTCTCTTTTTTTGAGCCCCTTTCTCATCAACACCAATGAAACTACCGCGAACGCTGCTGCAGTAGTAAAATTCCTTACGGCAGTTTATAGACGCACTCTTTTCACTTATTTCTCACTTACAAGTTGTTGTTGAATGCTCAATGCAAACTTACCTGTAAAAAGCAGCTAACGCGCAGCGTTCTTTAACTATACGAAATTAAATTAAATAAAATAAATGAGTCGACTTATGCCTGCGATTAAATGAACTATCGATATATTACTAAGCAGATGGTCTAGCGTATCGATAAATAAACTGTGGTATATTTTATTTTTTGCTTTGAATCAGTGTGTACATACTGTCTAAGCACATTGCTAAACAGCACCCGGATTTATATTATTATTATTATATATGGCCTTTAGATTTAATAAATCTAATTATGGACAATGATGACATAACATTACCAGCAGATACATTAGCTATATTGACTGAGTTCCTGGCAGAACGAACACAGCGCGAGCATGAGGAGGAGCAGCGCATGATAAACAAAACAGGAAAGGATGCACATTTCGAGGAGGATTGGGTAAACGGATTAAG